ACTTGTTTACTTGCCACGCAAGAGAACGAAGCTGGTACTGAAAACACGAAAAATACATTGTTTCAAGGAATTTGAAAGACTGTACCGAGCACTTGAAACTAACTTCAACGTGTAATTAACCGTTTAAATTCAGATCGAAAACAAAAAGAGCCAAAGCAATAGTAAAGGAACGTAAAGCAATTATTGTAATTGCAAATCCAATTTTTCTCGAGCACCAAATTTTCTAATTAATCGACGATATAAGGGGCTGAATCCTCCTCATCCCCTTAACTCGAGCAAGGCAAGGACCTACCATAACTTTAGACCCCCCCGCCCTTCCCCCCGCGGATATGTCCCTGCTTACATTGTGACACTGCCTCAAAAACTGCACTGAACCTAAACATATAACTCCAATCAGGCTTAGGAGACTGGAACTGAACCCAAAGATGGCGGCCGCTGGAAAAGACCTCATTCGCTGTCGTGTAAGGCCATTCGGAATATAACTTCAACAAATCGCTTGATGAATTCTGTCCATCACGAATTTCAAGGGTAGTATTCCTATTCCCATCACTGTCGTCAAAGTTGTAGGATATCAAGCTAAACCTCACGAAGAGACCTTCCGGTACTGTTATGATCCAAGTACACATCTTGCTTCTAGGAGGAGTGCCAGGAGGAAACTGGGGCGAGAAAACTTTTCCAGTGTCACCAGTTATAGGAATGACGTTATCAACTCCGTCGAGTTTGCACGGTCCCACAGCCGCTGTCAACGAAAGTGGAGATGACTTTAATTCTTCACAGAGAGAGATCCATAATTTTGAAAGTAACGTGGGGTGCTGATTTGTGTTTAAATAAGCTAAAAGGAATTCGGATTTATCTACAAGAACAACAGTTTCAGTGAAAAGTGAAATGAACCGTTCTCAAAAAGAAGATTACAGAGTTAAAGAAATACGTGAGGCTAGTGAGAAGCAAATGATGCCTAGGTTATCTTCCCTATACAACAGGACAAGCACCTAAAAAATTTAAGTCAGGTCATAAAATTCAATCTAAAAATAGTTACACGCTATGCTAAGAAGTAAAAACGATAATCTTACGTACGATCAATATAACAAGCAAAAAGTTAGGTTAAAAGGCCCAAAAGGTCAATTTCGTTACATATTTTTTGAAGGCCTTAAAAGTTCTGATAGTTCTGTCTGACTGGCAGGTTCCATAACTTTGGTACTAGGTAACGTCACGATTTAGGTCCGTAGGTTGTGGTGTTGACCTTAGGCAGCTTTAAAATGTCAGTTCCCCTCAGATCATGTGTTCCTAAAATCTAGTAACTTTTTATGCTTTTAGGAGCATGATCGTAATCAATAATTAAAAACAAATTGAACGGAGTCTGTTCAATTTGTTATGTGCCCAACATGTGATTGACCAAAACCTGTTTCCTAGAGTTGGATTGGAACTTTGTAATACCTCTAAGAAAATATTCGAAACATAGAGATCTGACCGAAAAATAAACCCGCTTTGACCGCGGTAATACTTACGGTCGGGGAATACAGTATAGCTTGCATGAAATCCTGTGAATCCTCCTGATCTATCACTCACGAAATCCACGTAGACATTTGAATATGTTGACCGAATAACAGGGGGAAGAGAAGAACCACAGAATCTGCCAATCAGGTCACTCATCGCCAAAGTATAGAATGAGCCTTGTTTAACTGTTACATAATCTGCCTCGCAATCTTCAGAACTCTCCAAGTTGAAGGAATGAAACGTCAACTGGATGAGATAACCAGCCGGAGCGTTGATTGCCCAGGAACATTTAGCTCCGTTAGGGTACAGATGGGGATAATTGAAGCTTGCAAATTCACCAGACGTTTTATTCAAATGCATGTCCCTATTGTTTAGACAGGAGTATGGGGCAGGGAGTTTACTAACGGCCTCGTACGTCGCAACAAAGCCACCCTCCATGAATAAAGCTGAAACTAACATATTGTTTCCCTTTGAATAAACAACCTGCTCATTCTCGTTTTGGTTATAACAGAACTTTCCCAACAATATTCTTTTGGAACTTGTTACGTCAAAAACGTACGCATAGTTTTGCTTGCATCCTGATGCCCTGAAACTCCAAAATGTAAGCTTCACAAACTTTCCAGGAGATACGGTGATGTTCCAAAGGCAAGCCCCTTTCCCCCGGTATTCGGGAAATCCCGGAGTTGCAAAGCTCATTCCTTCACCAGCCATGTGGACAGTGGTGTTTTCTTGTGGATTGCAAGTTCCGGATGAAACTAAATATTAAGAACAACAGGAGCAACAAATCACAATTTGAACCTTACTGATAACGGGAAGTGAACCATAGTCAGTTGACACTACAATCCAAGGCCATCCGCCATAGAGTTTCCCATCCCCTGAACGACCTAATTTTCTGTTTTATTTTTCCTTTCATTTTTTTTCGTTCTTTCCCTCTAAATAGATTATTAGACATTTTGCTGTGGAGAGTCACGCTACATTTTTACGAGTCTTGTGGTATTTTGGCGAACCTGTGGGCAAGTCGAAATACAAATAACGAGTGAAAATTTACAGAAATACTTCACACTAAATTGACTAAAACGAGATTTATGAACCAACGTTTACTAAGACGACTACAACTAACCTGTCAAACCAGTTTCCTGGCGTGCTAATACCGTGAGACTCATGTGTCTATTGAATATCTAGAAGTGCATTCGATAACGCTCGTCCGATATCTTTCAAAACGTCAAAACGCTGCAAAGAGCTGGAAAAATAACGATTGGTTCACAATTTACAAGAGAATCAAATAACTGACATGCTGAGAATCTTGCAGGATATCCTCTGATCTTTAACAATTCGGGTAATTCGGCCTCATCGACTAAGTATATATATTTCTGGTAATATTCTGTGCGTTTTGGCAGTAGAGACATTTTTTAGCTTGGGTGGTTTATTGTCTCATCACAGACCACGTGGTATTCTAAAAAAGAATTGTTCTTTTACCCATCTTACAATTGTGAATTCATATACATGCGACTATTTGAATATTTGACAGCGAGAATCCTCAAAGGTATCATCAGATGGTCTGAAATGGGGCAACAAACCACCCAAGCTAAAAAGGTCAGTTGTTAATTAGTTTTACACATCCCTTGAAAGGTAACAAAGAAGCCTTGTTAGTTTCCCTGGGCTTCCTTGCCTATAATATACATTGATGTATTCTTATTATATTTATAAATGGCAAAAATAACACAAGAAAAAAAAAGAAAGATAATTCAGTCGAAGTTGCGGTTGTAAAAACGTTTTTCCCTAAATTCGAATCAACAGTCACAGTTTGGCTTATAAAGTAAACGCAAGATTTACGTCACGTAGTATATCCGGAATATTTAGCGTCTTACCTGCGGCTGGAACCATTGTGTAAGTTGCAATGAATCCTGGGCCGGTTTTTCCTGTATCTCCTTTTAGACCCTTTACCTTAACGCCAAGTTGACCACGCCCAGTTGAATAAACAGTAAATGAAGGCACTGATCCACTGCGTGTTATAAAATACGGATTCCAATTATCAGTGTTGTCAGTGAACTCAACCCAATCATACATGTTCAGCTGGAAACTTGTAAATGTCATGCGTACCATTTTTCCTTGTGGAGCTATAATCTTCCAACGACACTGTGTGATTAGTTTGTACGGGTAACTGGATGGATATCCGGGGCTTTGGAAGACACCAGATGCATTTCCTAGCAAAATGTTCATGTTCACATCACGGGAATTCTTAGAGGAACAACGCGAAAGGCCTGCTGTAAAAGGAAAAAAGAGAACTTGAAGTGGCTGGGAATAAAGAACTTGCAGTGACAGGGAATAAAAAGGGCCAATCACATTGAAGTAGGGTTGAACAGGTTTTAAAGTAATAGCAACAGTAAAATTTATGCTAATTTCATAAAAGCACTAAATTCGATGTATAATTTCTAAAATAATAAATCAGTAGGCCATTTCTGAGTTGTCTTTTGTCTCTGTTTCAAAACAAGTCCTCATGGAAAACTTTTCATATGGAGAGGAGTTTGATTTGCACGAAAATGAAAGTGTGATGAAACGGAGTTTCAAAAGAAGGATTTCGCACAAAGACTCGTTTTGACACAGAGGCAAAAGGCAATTTAGAAATGGGCTGTTGGAAGACTAGTCAAAAACCCGATATTCGTCATTTCTCCTTTAGCTGAAATATCTTCTCTTCTTCGAATGTCAACAAGCCATAAATAAAGTACCTGACCGTGAGCCATGGCCTTAACCTCAGACATCTCCTTGAGTGACACACTCTTGAAGAGATGGCTGAAACTGAGGCTGAGAGACTCATTGTTTGATTAACCACAAGAAGTATTGCACACTGAAAGATATAGTGTTGATGTTTTAATTGTAATTTTAAGTTTAATATATGTTTAGGGGAAGGTTGGGTAGAAGGACTTAATTTCCAACACCCAGTACTTCAAAAGGAAAACCACCACTCCCCTGGAGTAAAAATTGCTTGTAAAGCACAAGAGCAAATAAAGGAATAATTGGAATATGGAAGTC